CCCCCCCCCCCCCCCCCCACACACACACACACTCAGTTGTGACTAGAGAATAGAGTTTGCAGCACTCTAAGTCCCAGGAGCCAAATTCATGGGAAGGCACTGCCTCTGATCTTCCCCTTGTACAGCAGGAGTTAGGTACCAAACATTAAAGAAACACTGTCAAGCTGATGCCTTTTTAAAGCTGTTTTGCTTTTGCTGGCACAGTGGGCTTGAAAAGCACAGTTCCTCCTGAAAGAGCCAGCCTGTGTCACTTCTAGCCCTTCTCCCCTCCTGGCAGAAAGAGACTGGGCTGGAAGGGAATAATGGTTTTCTTAGCAGAGCTGCTGTAGGCTCATTTTCTGTGGTGTAGAGCTGTTTTGTGCTACTTGTGCTATTGGGATGAGCATTGTAGGAAACAGATGGCACATTGTAAAACAGCCAGATAGGCTGTGCTGAGAAAAATATGTAACAATTTCTGTGCTGAAGCCACTGTGAAATCTCCCATGTTGCTGGGTTTTTGGTTGTAGCCGTCTTGGTCTAAGGAAATAGGCAGGCATGGTTCTTTGAGCAGATGTGATATCTTTTATTAGACCAACCGAGTAGTTGGAAAAAATTTCTTGGCAAGCTTTCGGGCACAGTCACCCTTCTTCAGGCATGGGGAGCCTCTGCTATTCTGTCCCCTGCTGGGGGATCCTCCCCCCCTCCCCGCCCCGCTTGTTGACAGATTGCTGAGGGACCCTGCGCCCCACCCCCACTTGCCGATCAGCCGCTGTGGGACTTCTTCCTTCTTGACTGGCCACTGGGGGTACACTTCCCCAAAAAGGTTGGAAACCCTTGCTCTAGCGTCTGTGCTTATTTGTTTTTATTGTCCCTAATTGCTCCCTTTCACTAAAACCCTCTTTCAACTACGACCCAAATTGTAGCCTAGATTCCAAATTTCCTCCCTTTGCTTTTCAACCATTCCATTATGGAGGAACCTGGAATGGGAATGTGCAGGCTTGAAAGCAACTTGGCACATGGCATCTGTGACTAGAAATCAGTTCCACCAGGGAACTTTCTGGCATGCATGTTTTTTCAGTGTGCATCTTCTGCTGTTGTCTTGATCCCACTTTGCAGTTTGCGTGTAGCAAATCCATGTATAGCTTGTATTCTGGGGTCATCATGTTAAAACGGAGAGATGAAATTACATGCAGGAATAACAAATTACTGGAAAGTAGAGGGGTGGGGAGTTTCATCATGTCAGCCACTGTGGGGTAATGGCCTGTGTGCATGCTCTTACTCCCCAGTGGGTGAAAACTAGTTAGTGGTAGTTTACCCCTCTTCCATTGAGAGCTGAGCTACTGCAGGTTAACTTTCAGGCATGGTAGAGTAAGAGCTTGCACGTGAGCAGAGCAGCTGATACCTGGGAAACCCCCTCTCATTTTCCCTCCAGTGGCTTGTTTGGGTGCAGCCCCATTTTGTGGGGAGTGTATGCACTTGAAACAGACAGCTAAATTAGCCTTCAGGGATCTGGATTTTGTATTTTAGTGGATTTAAATTAATAACGTGTGTCTATTATTCTCTGCTCTAGGTATGCTATTGGTGTAGCGTATAAGTCTGCCCCAAAGAATGAGTGGATTGGCAAGAACTCCTCCTCCTGGGTCTTCTCTCGTTGCAACAACAACTTTGTGGTGAGACACAACAACAAAGAAATGCTGGTGGAGGTCCACCCTCAGATGAAGCGCCTTGGCGTCCTCCTGGATTATGACAACAATGCCCTGTCCTTCTATGACCCGGCAAATTCTCTCCATCTGCATACATTTGAAGTTTCTTTCATCCTCCCAGTCTGTCCAACATTTACCATCTGGAACAAATCTTTGATGATCCTCTCAGGCCTGCCTGCCCCAGACTTCATAGATTACCCAGAGCAGCAGGAGTGTAATTGCAGGCCCCAGGAGTCCCCGTATGTATCAGGGATGAAAGCTTGTCACTAAGCTGCAGCCCGCACCTCCTGTTCTCCACAGTCCTGCGTGGAGATTGTTAACGGGAGCTAGTAGTGAGCAGCCAGCCCTTGGGAGCTTCCGAACAGCCTAGATCAGGAAGCACTTTCTGCAGCCAGCTATATAGTGCTCAGCAAGCAAATACTCTCTCACATGAAGCTAATTTTTTAAGGGGGGTGTGGGGAAGAAACTTTAAAAAGCTGTTAAATAAACTTTGTTGACAAGCTCCATTTCTTTGTGAATGAAGCTTGTGAAACTCCCTTGTGGTGTGATTGAATTTCTCAAACCAGATTGTCATGTGGATTGTTTTGGTTTTATTTGGGGGTTAAGGACAGTGGTGGGGGAGGCTTAGTGCAACCTCCTTAGCCACTTGGATGGGCACAATGCTGGTTCCGTGGTCCCCTCAAGAGATATTGGTGGAGTGGATGTATCCAAAGGAGAGTGGCAAGAAAACAGCTCTCTCCAGCTATGGGCTTGTAGAAGAGCAGAATCAGCAAGGCGGCCTCCTAGCCTTGCAAGAAATGCTAAGCAGGCCTGCAAAATCACCAGTCAGGCAGGAAGCTCCATTTAGCAGCATCTTCAGAACAAAAGATAAAACAAGCAGCAAAACTCTTTTATCCAGAGAAGTGCCCACAACCAGAAAGCTAGAGCCTTTTACACAGTAGGTAGTATGTGTAGGTGGAACTGGCTCTGGGAGAACTGGTCTCTCAGGAATGAGCCTGCTGCCTTCAGCTGCATTCAACAACTCCTGCTCATCAAGCACTCAGATCTCAAATCCTGGTGCAGAGGAAGGTTAAGCCTATCCCTGTCCCTATTTTCTGTCTTCTTTAGGAGGCTGTATTTCAGTGTAAATCAGGGAGACCCCAGCCAAGCCAACCCACTGGCCGATACCTATTCTGTGTGACATAGAACAAGCTGAGGTCCAGTTGTGCGGCACAGGGTCCATCATGCAGTGTTCCCTCTCACTGTTAGGATGTGTTGTTTGTTTTGGAGATGTGACCAGGCTGTAGAAGCCAATAGGTCACACGGATATCTCTGCTTCAGCTTCTCATGGTATAATGCAAGATGTTCCCCCAGAAAGAGTGTGTATCTTCTGTGAGTGGGGGCTTTGGAAAGAGCCAGTGTCACCCTTCATGTTGCTGCTGTTGCCACCTGGCAAGGGAAGCTCAGACAGGCAGAGCAGAATCATCTGCACAGAAGCAAAATGGAGCAAGTGGTCCATAAGGTATGTGATCAGTCTATAGTGTGTGAGGAATTTATCCGTTATTTATGTGCAAGAGTTGTACCACTGCTTCTGCACAGAGATCTACTCAGAATGCACTTTCTTTTCCATAGGTTGAGTTTGTTTGAGGTTTGACTGGCAAATTATATAAGGGCAGATAGCAAAAAGATCAAAATTAGTCCCAGAAATGGCAGGGCAGCCTGTCCTGGCAACATTTATTGGAAATATGACCACTTCCCCTCTCTGAGTAAACACAGGGCTATTCCTAAAGCAGAATTTAGTCCCAAGGCCTTCACATTTGCAGGAACTCCCCATCCTCTTGCCATTTATCTCAGTTTTTTGAGAACCACCCAAGGTCATTGCTCTCTGTTAATCCTGTTAATTTTGTCAGGCTGTCTTCCTATCCAGGCACCTCAAATTGCCATTCAAGCAGAATGAGGCTGACTCTTCAAACCAGACTACTTCACTTTTTGATAGTGAGAAGCCTTTTTACCCAGGCATGAACACTGACAGGAGTTAGGCAGAGGAAGGTGGATCCTGAGGAGAAAAAACCTAGAGGATGCAAAGACTGCAAACTGGGGCCTTGGTTTGATTGGGGAGCCAGATGTTTTCATTCCACACAAATGAGAGAGAGTACAAAGTCTTATTTCCATGGATGCAAAGGAAAGGCTGTGCTATGGCTATGGACAGATTCAGATTAGGTTTGTACCCTGCTTACCTGAAGCTGTGAGAAGTTTGTTCGGTGATACCTTTTACTGAACCAGTTATATATTTGGGGGAGATGTGCCTGAAAGCTTGTCTAACAAAGTGCCCTTCCTCTGGGAACAAAGCAGACAGGGCTGAAGCTAAATACCAGGTAGAACAAATTGCTTTATGTACTCCATTATGTAAATGAAAATAGCCCCTTAAAGGAGAAAAAGAGGCAAGTAATTCAGCTAACTTCTGTTTGTTCCACAAGTTTACAGTCCTCTTCCATTTCTTTATTTTCATTCACATAGAGGAGTTAAACAAAAGTCATTGTTCTACAGTATTTAGCTTAGGCTGTATCTGCTTCTTTCCCAGACCTGAGGAAAGACAGTTTCGCCACCATCGCCCCTAACATCTCTTCCAGTAAAAAATTATTACCAAACAAATCTTGCTTCTCATGTATTTCCTAGACTATCGTAGCTACAACACTAAAGTCCTGCTTCAAAGGACAGAAGCTATGCTGCGGCTACTTGCCCACCAGTCCATTGGCTTTTTAGCTTTAGTTCTTTTGCCATTTGAAAGGGATATCCTGCTTATGGGGCCCAGCATCAAACTGGCTTCAATAAAACTTCTAGTTCTGAGAAATCTCTCTTCTGGATAAGGAGTCTAGCTGATGTGTCCTGAAGGCATTGGGCTGGCAGAGCCTGCTGCCAAGGATCCGGACCAGAATCTGGGTCTCATTGGAAATTCTCCCTCTGGCAACATTTCCTTGTTTGAGCTACTTGGGGTCCTGTGGAATGGCTCCTTCATGTATTGAAATTGTCTTTTAACTTTTCCTTTTTTTTTCAAATGGGGAGAGAGCACTGTGTCTTGCTGATGGGAAAACTACCTCATAATGCTGCCTCTCAAGACAGGCTGATTCATTCAGATAGAGTGATTTCAGTAAGTGGGCAATGTACCATGGTAAAGGGAGGTTCATAGACAGTGGGGTTTTTGAGCAGACACAGAGAGAGGCTTGTTAAACTTGGATCTGTATGTAGCATGTACTTAGGCTGCAGTCCAATCATTTCCTGGGCTCAGAGAATACAGACTCAGAGTGGGACAGCCTGCAGACCAATGCCAGCCACCTGGAGAAAACATCTGAGATTTCCTCTTACTTGAATAAGATAGTAAGTGTATTGCCTCCTCCCCACCTGCCTTCTGCCTTCCTGAACTATTTGAGGGGCTTTGATTCTGTTTGACATGCACTTCCTTTGCCTGAGCTTTGCCTTCTTTATCTTCATTTCGCTCTAGCAGCTTCCTCACCTCTCACAAGCTGTTGTGTACCTCATTATGCAGCTGCCACACTCATGGACAAAGTCTGCAGCATCACATCCTTCTTTAGGGCTTGAGTAAGGACAGGATGTGCCTGCAGTCCCTCCAGCTATGTCAAATAAGTTCTTTGGCCAGCACATTGTAAAAGGTTTGCAGTTCTGGCTGATGTGAAAGATAGGAAAGGCTGCAGAGCCTTGAACAATCTGTGCTGAAGGATACTTTTCATTAACTCTGAGTTGCTGTCAGTACCAGCAGAAAAGTGATAGCTCCTCACAGGGATGGGGTGTGTAAAGAGCATAATTGATTAGCTCTACAAATTTCTGGCCCTTATGAATTCAGCATTTACTGTGAGTGGTTGCCTAATGGTGGGTTGGGGGGTGGAGGGGCAAGGTATTTTCTCTGCAGACAAATTATATGCCCCCTGGTGCTGTGCTGGAAATGGGAGATGGATTTGTTTTCCCTGACACTGATCTGGGCTGCTTTTGCCATCATTGAAGGGCAGTAATTCATAGGGTGTGATGTACAACTTCAGACCACAGGGAAGATTTTTACTGGTTTATCCTAGCCCAAGCATTGGCCAGCATTGCGCAGGGATTCAAAGCTGCGTAGCTGCCTTACCCTGCAGCTAAGCACAGAATCACATTTGTTTTATGGAGATAAATTGCTGTTTTCAAGTTGATGTTTTCAGAGCCACATAGGGATACCATTTAATTCTGTCCCCTTTGTGGTAAGCCCAACAGGCTGCTAGTGCATCCATCTTGAATGGATGCCTGAGTACTGTAGATGGATCCTAGCCTTTGTAAAATGGGTGCCAAGCTTTTCTTGCCTGGCCCTGGCACAGTTCTGACAGAATTTCTGTTGAAGGACTCTGCCACATCCATTAACTCAGAGCACACGAGCCATTAACGTGATGTTTGCACGTAATGAAATTGCACTAGTTACAGTAGGGTTAAGTATTGAAACAATGACAGACGGGAGGGGAACCATAGTGCTTACGTGGTTGGTGGGAAAGAGAAGACCCAGCACAGTCCAAAGAAAGTGCTGAGGTTAGGCGCAATTTCTAAGTTGCCTGCATTTTTCTCTGCAGTATTTCTTTAATAGCAAAACCTGACCACATGTGTTATTAAATGGAGGGTGGGGAAAGCAAGTCATTTGCCTCTCTTAGACAAGTCCAGGAGTGGTCTGGTTCCTGCACTAGAAAACTCAGTCCAAGTCAGGCACCTACACTAGAGAGCCATCCCCACTTCTACAGATGTAGATGCTGCCTCTTTACAGGCAAAACTCCCCTGCTGCTTGTTACCTTTGCCTTCACCCTGTTAGCAACCAATCCCATTGGTGTAAACTGACTGGTGGAATACTGACACAATGGCAGTTTCAACCAATCCAAACCCATCCAGCTTCTGCTGCCCCTGACTTCAAATGAACGTGGAAAGCTTTCTGCCTTTTTCCATCATCCTGTTCAGAGGGGTTGCAGAATCACAGAGGGAAAAGGACCAGTGACTATTGGTTCGAGTCACTGCAGGAAGTTCATGTGTCATCTGTATTTCTGCCTCTTGCAGGGCTCTGTGCTGCTGGTGGATGTTTGTATCATAGTATCCATTGTATATGACTTGGGATGTGGTGAAATTCTGGTTACAGTGCAACTCTCATACTTTCTCTCCATATGTAACATATTTGTTTTGTTTTGGGTTCTTTGCAACTTCTTTGTTAATGTGTATATATATATAAATATAATATAATATATATACCTACTGGATGTGTCTGTGTGTGAAGATGATTATATCAGACTCATTTGGGTAATATCAAAACTATACTGATCTTTCCCAAAGTTAGGGGCCTCCCACTTTCACCATGTAATTTCCTTCTCTGGACATATAAACATCTGTAATGTTGAAACCAAATCCACCTTGCCCATGGTAGAGCTTTTCTGATCATTTTCACATAAAATCTTTTAGCTTCAACTTTGCACAAAGGTGTTGATGGTGCTCTCCATTCTCAACTTAAAATCAGCTAGAAATTCAAACGTACTCAGCAACCTGCATTTATGTGGAAGTGAGGTAGGAGAATGCTGGATTGCTTGATAGGCAAACTAGCAACCATTGTAAATCCCCAGTAGCAACCCTTCCACTGGTATGAAAGGGAAGTAGTCAGTAAGTTCATGTTCAGAAGTTCCTAGTAAAATAACCATAACCATTCTCCCCTGCTACAGAGGAAGGCAACCCCCCCCCACCCCCCACCATCACTACCTGTGCCAATCTCTCAATGGGAAAAATCCCTTCCTGCCCCCAAATGTAATGATCGCTGTGACCCTGAGTAAAAGATCAAGACCCTCCTTCCAGGAACCTGTGGCCTTTCTAAGTAGATAGA